TCCCCCAACTTCTCTCTCTCTCTGCACTTCTCTCTCTGTCCCCCCTTTTCCCTACTCCCCCCCTTTTCTCCCCCCCCCCGCCCCCCCCTCCCTCCCCTCGCCCCCCACCCCCCGCTCTTTCCCCTTCTCTCTCTCTCTTCCCGTCTCTTTCTCGCTCTTCCCCTGTCTCTCTCTCTGTTCCCCTGTCTGTCTCTCTCTCTTTCTGTCTGTTCCCCTGTGTGTCTCTGTCTCTTCCCCCTCCCCACTTTTCACCCGCCCGCCCCTCTCCTACTCCTCTTCATGACTAGGTGGCTCTGCTGGATTTGAACCTGAGCGCTGGTGAAGCCTGCAAGAAGGCATTGGATGGGGAATTTGATGCTGCTCGCAGTTTATTCATCGCATGCAACGTGGGAGCAGAGGAAGAATTAAAATGTAGGTGGCTCAGCACTAGGGCTTGTCCTACTTCACAGTTGTGCTAATTGTATTCGGAGCTGAAACAGTTTATTTTTGTTTCTGATTGTAAATGGGTAAGTGTTTGAGCAAGGCACGCTGTTTAACATCATCTTCCATAAATGTCAACTTCACACCTCAGGCTTATATAGTTGTATTTATACCGACCAGAAGTAATCTCGATGTGTGACGTCTTCACGTTTAATGATTCCCTCTGACGTTATTAACACAATGTTAGATTAGGAATAAGCCAGTTTGTGTTCGCTGAGGTACAGCTGGACTGTGCTTGCTTTGGAATACTCTTTGGGTCTTGCAACACAGATTGAGGTTCACACTGCAGTACAGGAGTGAGGAGTGACACATTAAACTGAACCCCCATCGGCCCTTTCAGATGGAAGCTGCGGATTCCTTTTCCCATTTATTGGAGAAGTGATCCTGATGACTATTTATCTGTCAGTTAACGTCACAAAAACGGATTAGTTCATCATTATCAAATAGCTGTTTGTGGGAGCTTGCTGTGTACAAATTGTTTGCCGCAACAATTAGAACAGCAATGACGCTTGGAAAATACTTCTGAGAGTTTGCAAAGCGCTTTGAAATAACAGGTCATGAAAAGTGCTATATAAATTCAAGTGCCTTTTTGAATACTCATGTTTTAAACTGTAATGATAATTACAGCTGTTTCACAAGTGTACATTATTTCAAAAAGTCTGAAAGTTTTTTTTTTAATGCCTTTCTATTAAAAGAAGGTGCCATATTTCTGTTTAAATGATGTGTATCTGGTCTGTAGGATAAAGATTACATAAAATGAGGGACTCTCTAAAGCCAGGTTAATGACGGCATTCTCGGTCCAATGCAATGGAAATTCAAAATATCAAAGATGCAGATGGATTCATAGATTCTTGCAGCGCAGAAAAGGCCCTTAGGCCCATCGAGTCTGCAATGACATATATACCACGAAAAATGCACTAGTCCCAATTTCCTGTACTCGTTCAATATCCTTGAATGTTATGATATTTGAAGTGCTCATCCGAATATTTTTTAAAGGATGTAGGGTTTCCAGCCGCCACTACCTTCCCAGGCAGTGCATTCCAGATTCCCACCACCCCCTGAATGATTTTTTTCCCCCAAATCCCCTCTGAATCTCCTGCCCCTTACCTTGAAACAGTGCCATCTTGTGATTGATCCCTCAACCAAGAGGAACAGTTGCTCTCTATTCACCCTGCCCATGCCCTTCATAATGTTTTACATCTCAATCATGTCTCCCCTCAGTATTCTCTGTTCTAAAGAAAACAATCCCAAGCCTATCTAGTCTCTCCTTATAACTCAATTTCTCCATCCCAGGCAACATCCTGGTGAACCCCGTCTGTATCCCCTCCAGTGCTATCACATTCTTCCTGTAATGAGGTGACCAGAACGGCACTCAGTACTCCAACTGTGACTTGACCAATGCTCTGTACAACTCAAACATTACCTCCTTGCTCTAATACTCTAGCCACGACTGATATAAGCAAGTGTTCCATGTGCCTTCTTAACCATCCTATTCACATGTTCTGCTGACTTAAGGGATCTATGAATAATTACCCCAAGACCCCTCTGTTCCTCTAGGCTATCGAGTGTCCTTCCGTTCATTAAATACACCCTTATCTCATATGTCAAATTATGCAAGTTCCTCACAGTCCCTTTTCCTGAATTCCGTACCTATGTTCTCTTTTTCCAGAGTAAAGAAGACCAAAAAGAGGTATTTATTCAGCACCGTTCCAATCTTCTGTGGCATCATACATAGGTTGCCCTCTTGGTCCCTAATGAGCCCTACTCTTTCCCTGGTTAACCTTTTCTCTTTAGGAGAGATATATATACGGGATTAAAATGGGGTGATCTTACAGGTGTATAAAATCATGAGGGGTGGAGATAAGCTGAAGAGCAAGGGACTTTTCCCTAGGGTAGGGGAGTTCAAGACCAGGGGGCATATTTTTAAGGTGAGAGGAGAAAGATTTAAAAAGGACATGAGGGGCACCTTTTTTACACAGAGTGGCTCGTGTGTAAAATGATCTGCCAGAGGAAGTGGTGGAAACGGGCACAGTTACAATGTTTAAAAGACATTTGGATATGTTCATGAATAGGAAAGGTTCTGAAGGATGTGGGCAAATGCAGGCAAGTGGGACTAGTTTTGTGTTGGAACATGGTTGATGTGGACTAGTTGGACTGAAGGATCTGCTTCCATGTGGTATGAGTCAATGACTCTATCATACTGTTTATGTAGTAAAGCTACATTGCAAACCAAGTTCATGAGAGAATTCATCCATTCTCTCTGATATTTTTTGATTTATATTGAGCAGTGACATTTACACTTCACAAGAACAATTGAACACTGCCAAAAATATGAAAAAAGACTGTTTTCCAGCAAAGGTCTTTGAGAGAAGGGTGAAAGGAAGTTTGTGGGAGTGTTTAAAAGCATGACTGGTTTAGATAGTGAATAATAAGATACTGTTTCCATTGGCAGAAGGTTCCATAATGAGAGGGCACAGACTGAAAGTGATTGGGATTAAGACTATAAGATGTAGAAGTATGAGTGGACCATTCGGCCCATTATTGCTCTGCCACTCAGCAAGATTAGGGCCGACCCGATCATCCTCAAATGCACTTTATTGCCATTTTTCTGTAACCTTTGAATAATGAAAAGTCTGTTTACCTCAGCCTTAAATATACCATAGGTTCCACAACCCTCTGCAATAAAGAATTCCACAGATTCACAACTCTCTGAGAAAAGAAATTCCTCCTCTTCTCTGTCTTAAATGTGCGACCCCATATCTCCCACAAGGGGTAACAACCTGTCTGCACCTATTCTGTCAAGTAACCAACGAACCTAAGAGTCATATATGTTTCACTAAAGCATCATTTTATTCTTCTGGCACAATAGACAGAATGGAATGCTTTCTTCCATGGCAGATTTGGTGCTGCTGGAGTGTTTTAGTCAGGCAACAGAATGAGTAGCGTTACCTTCTTCCCTAAGCAGATCTGGAGTAGGAAAGCCCCTGCATGGCCTTCATACCCTACTGCTGATTGAGTCCCTAGAGGAGGCAAGTAATGAGCACTCAAAGGTGTCTTCCCACTGCCGCTTGTATTGACCCAGCAAAGGCTTATTCATTTGAGGAAATACATTAAGGGAGGGAATTCCTTTGTTGTCAGTCTCTTAGTGCTTGATCGGGTACCCCCATCCCTTTTGCTGAGAGCCAACCCCTGCCTTTGCTGCCAATTCCCATCCCTATCACCTTTCCTCCCACCATCACTCAGCTGTGACTGGGTCCCACTTCAAATCAGCAGCATTGAGTGGGTGTATTACCAGCAGCAGCCACAGCCTCCCCAGTGGCACTGTTGAGCTTGGCACAGGGGCCTCAACCCAGCAAGGTCCTTGATCCTGGAATTTTCTGCAGTGTTCAGTTAGTTGGCCTTTAATGGAACAGAACTTTCTGGAAAGAGGAAAAGTGGACACACTCTGGCTTTGCAGCTTGCAGACAAGACCCTAAAAGAACCAAAGAATACCATTCAATATAAGGAAAATCTCTTCCACTCTGCAGTAGCTATACATTTTACCTATGTCCTTATGTTTACTCAAAGCATTGTTAAGTTTTGGAACATACTGCTCAAAAGTGTAGTTGAAATCAATTAAACAGTGGAGTTCAATAGCAAATGTTATAAATACTTGGAAAAAAATTCAGGGGTATGCGTAATAGGCAAGAAAATGGGACTAACTGGTTTGGTGTTTGGTAGAGCTAGCTCAGACCAGATGACAAAGACGGCCTCCTGTGTACTATTCTCTGATTCTATCTTGCTTATAGGTGCGTTTAAGAAGACGATAGATCTCTTTGGAAGTTTGGATATAGTGTGTAACAATGCCGGAGTAAACAACGAGAACAACTGGGAGCAGACAATTAATATTAATTTGGTAAGAAATTAAAGATCTTGACCACACAGTTATAACCTTTTACTTACAGAGTTACACCACTTCAAATTTAAATTGTTTAGTAATTGCACAGAATTATATTTTCAATCCGTTGTTCTGTTGTTTTGGAGGTGTCGTGTGGACCAATTTAAATTGATGCATTTCTTATTGTTAATAATCTGGATAAAATTTCAGTCCTGGTACCAGATAATTCAAGATGGAGTCAAAGTTCAAACAGATTTTTTTTCTTGCAGCAAGTTCACAAAATTACTATTGGCCACACTCCACACTGTATGATCTATAATTCAGTGCATTAACATGTTTACCTATGAGTAAAATTTGGAATTGGGCACTTAATTCTCAGTTGAAAATTAGTACCTTATTGATTTAATTTTCTGTGCCACCACATTTCATTTGAAGTAAAATATTCTAGGCTGTGGCTGCATTCAATCAGATGTCCATGTACAGAGTTACTTCTGTCAGGATGTTTTTTTAACTCGTTCACTGGATATGGGCATTGCAGCTGAGTCGTAATGTATTGCTTGTCCTTAATTGTGCAGAGGACAGTTATTAGTCAATCACAATGCTGCAGGATTAGTACATTCAGGCCAGACCAGGTAAGGATGGTGGATTTCCTTCCCTAAAGGACATTAGAGAGTCTGGTGAAATTGTATGACAATCAACATCACCTAGTGATGAATCACTGATCTCTCACTGCACAGGAAACTTTTGATCCATATTGCGTATAATTTTTCAAAACTTAAAAAAAAATTCTGCTTTAAGATATGATCAGCTCGTCTTGTGTGTGCTGACTGTTTGGAGCACTATCCCAGTGATCCCACAACCCTGCTCTTTCTCCATCGCCCTGCAAATTTCTCTTTTTCAAATATATCTAACTCCACCATAAAAGTCCTTATCGCATTCTCTGCCATCAAACTTTCAGTGATATCATAACTACCTGAGTATGGAAAAAGAAACTCTGACTAGTTTGTTTTGTGAATTATCTACAACACATGCCCTCTGATAAAAGACTGAGCTGCTGATGGAAACTTTCCTTTTTTATTTGTACATTCATTCATTCGTTTAAGGGGCATGGACGTTGCTTTTCAGGCCAGCAATTTTTTTTTGCAGATCCCTCTTTACTCAGAGGACAGCTTAGGGTCAACCATGTTGCTACTTAGGCAATACCAGGCAAGAATAGTAGATTTCCTAGCCTAAAAGACATCACTTCTTTTCATCACATCATTTCTTCTTAATAACAAAAATTCTTATAATTTTAAAAACTGATTAACCTTAACCTTCTCTACTCTAAGACCTTCAACTGTCATAATCATATTGATTGTCTTATGAGTAAAGGCTAAACAGATTCTGTCTCAACTCACTGAAGTTTCAAAGAATGAGAAGGGATCTCATTGGTTCAGGGAATTCTTAAGAGGCTTGACAGGGTACATGCTGAGAGGATGTTTCTTCTCATGGGAGAGTCTAGGAATGGAGGGCATAGTCTCAGAATAAAGGGGTGCCAATTTAAAACTGCGATGAGGAGGTTTCTCTTCTTTCGAAGAGTTGTGATTCATTGGAACTCCTTGCCACAAAGAGTTCTGGGGGCAGATCTAAGATTGAGATAGATAAATGCTTGATCGGGAGGGCAATCAAGAGTTATCGGAAAATGCAAGAAAATGGACGTGAGGAATGTCGGATCAACCATGATTCTACTGAATGGTGGAGCAGGCTTGAGAGGCAAATCAGCCTACTCCTTATGGTCACCTGGCAGATAAGGCTTGAAATGCTGAATGGCCTACTTCTGCTCCTATAGTCTATGTTTCTATGTAGTAGTCTTTCTGTATTACTGATATACTCATCCCTGCTCTGGAAATATTGTGCATAGCATGTGACAAGTTTCCTAACTATAGAAATGTGTGTTCGTTGCCAGGAAACAAATATATTTACATGGTTAATGTGGGAATCATAGAAACCCTATAGAATGGCAGCAGGACATTCGACCCATTGAGTCCACGCCAACACTCTGGAGAGCATCCCACCCAGACCTATTCCCTTACCCTATCCTTGTAACCCTGCATTTCTCATGGCTAACCCACCTACCCTACAAATCCCTGGACACTTAAGGGCAATTTAACATGGCCAATCCACCTAATCTGCACATCTTTGGACTATGGAAGGAAAGCAGAGCACCCGAGGGAAAATACGCAGTCACGGGGAGAATGTGCAAACTCTACACAGACAGTCGCCCGAGGGTGGGATCAACTAGGTCCCTGGTGCTGTGAGGTAGCAGTGCTAACCACTGAGGCACCATGCTGCTGATGTACATAGAATAAATCCTGTCACTCAACACCTAACCCATATTTACACCTTATCAGTAGGTAGCTGAGATCTTAATTGATTTTAAATCAAATTGTATTTTTTAAATGCCAGACCTCCGTGATAAGAGGGACGTACATAGCTCTGGAATACATGAGCAAGAAGAATGGGGGTAAAGGAGGAGTTATTGTGAACATGGCATCTTTAGCAGGTAAGAACGTATCTCTAATTGTTTACTTAAAATAGATAGACACTGGACCAAGTCGGCAGGGGGGAAAATGTTTGCAGTAATGCAAGGACCAAGAACAAGAACAGCTTGGAGGCTAAATTTGATACATTGTGGCATTGGGAAGTCCAAGTAAAACTGGAGTCAATGAGACTCTGGGATCTGTCTCTGCTGGCTGGAGTCTGTGCCTGGCAAAACTAAAGACAGAAAATGTTGCTAGACGTCTTCTCCAGGACATCTCTGCAGCAGTTTCTGAGGGCAATATCCTAATGACCATCTTTTTAGTTCATTCATCAATGACCTTCCCTCCATCAAAGGTCCGAAGAGGGGGTGTCCACTAACAACAATGCAATGTTCAGCACCATTCATGACCCTTCAGATACTGAGGCAATTTACGTCTAACTGCAGCAAAACCATCTAAGCTTGGGCTGACAAGTGATAAGTTGTATTTGTAGGAATCAGGTGCTAGGAATAACCATCACCGAAAAGAGAGAATCTAACCATCATACCTTGACATTCAATGGGATACCATCTCAGAATTCCCCACTGCTAACATCCTGGGGGTTACCATTGATCAGAAACTGAACTGGCCTAGTGATAGAAATACAGTGGGTACAAGAGCAGATCAGAGGCTAGGAATCCTTCAGTGAGTGACTCATCTCCTGATGTGCCAAAGCCTGTCCACCGTCTATAAGGCACAAGAGCATGATGGACTACTCTCCACTTGCCTGGTTAGATACAGTTCCGACAACACTCAAGAAGTTTGACACCATCAAGTCAAAGCAGCCTACTTGGTTAACACTACGTCCAGAATCATTCACTCTCTCCACCACTAATGCAGAATAATTTGATTTGATTTGATTTATTGTAGTCACATATACCTGAGTACAGTGGAAAGTTTTGTTTTGCGAGCAGTACAAACAGATCATAGCAAACAAGGACATACAGATCATAGGGTACGTAGATGGAGCGAGATACACAAGGTTACGGCTGCACAGGAGGTGCACAAAGCAAGATCAACATTATTCGAAGTTAGAGAGTGCATTCAGCAGTCTAATAACAGCAGAAAAGAAACTATTCTTGAACCGGTTGGTGCACATGTTCAAGTATCTTCTGCCTGATGGAAGACGTTGTAGGAGAGCATAACCGGTGTAGGAGGGATATTTGATGATGTTGGCAGCCTTTCTGCACCAACGAGAAGTCTAAGTAGAGTCCATGGATGGGAGTTTGGTTTCTGTGACGGTCTGGGCTGGGCACACAACTTTCTGTAGCTCCTTACTGCCCTGGGCAGAGCAGTTGCCATACCAGGCCGTTATGCACCCAGACAGAATGCTTTCTATGGTGCATCTGTAAAAGTTGGCGAGGGTCCTCATGGACATGTTGAATTTCCTAAGCTGCCTGAGGAAGAAGAGGCATTGTTGAGCCTTCTTGACTTTTGCATCTATGTCTGAAGTCTGGGGCAGATGTTTGGTTATTGTCATTCCTAGGAACTTGACACTCTCGCCCCTCTCCACCTCAGCTCCATTGATGTAGATAGAGGCGCATCCTCCTCCTTTCTCCCTGAAGCCGATGATTAGTTCTTTTGTTTTTCTGACATTGCAAGAGAGATTTTTAGCATTACACCACCTCACCAAGCCTTCAATCTCCTTTCTGTATTCTGACTCATTATTGTTTAATATGCATCCTCCCGCGGTGGTGTCATGAGCAAACTTGTCAATGCTGTTCATGTGAAATTTGGCTACACAATCATGGGTGTACAGGGAGTACATTGAGTGGGCTGAGAACACATCCTTGTGGGAAGCCAGTATTGAGGATTATCGTCAAGGAGATACTGTAGTCGATCTTCACTGATTGTGGTCTTTGGCTCAGGAAGCTGAGGATCCAGTTGCAGAGGACGGAGCTGAGACGTAAGTCTCAGAGCTTTGAGATTAGTCAGGAGGGGATAATGGTGTTGAAGGTGGAGCTGTAGTTAATGAGTAGGAACCTGATATAGGTATACAGATGTTTCAGGGATGAGTGCAGGGCTTGGGAAATGGTGTCCGCTGTGGACCTGGTACATTGGTAGGCAAATTGCAGGGGATTGAGGCAGGCTGGGAGGTTAGAGTTGATGTGGGCTATGACCAGCCTCTCAAAGCACTTCATAATTTTGGAGGTCAGAGCCACTGGGCGGTACTTGTTGAGGAACATTGCTTGTGCTTTCTTTGGTACTGGGATGATGGTGGTCTACTTGAAGCAGGTGGGGACTTTGGCTTGTAAGAGGGAGAGCTTAAAGATGTCAGTGAATGTGTCCGCCAGCTGGACCACACAGGATCTGAGTGCTTGGCCGGGGACTCTGCCTGGACCAGATGCTTTCCTTGGGTTGACACTCAAGAAGGTCAATCTGACGTCTGCAGCGGTGACAGAGAGAACAGGTGTGTCCTGGGCTGTTGGGGCAGGTGACACTGCTCCGCTGGCATTCTGCTTAAACTGTGTGTAGAAAGCATTGAGTGCATAAGGGAGGGAGTGTACCATCAACAAGATGCAATGCGGAAGTTCGACAAAGTTCCTTCACCAGCACCTTCCAAACCCACAACCACTACCAAGAGGACAAGGACAGCAGGTACATGGAAGGACTGTGTAAGTTCCCTTTCAATCCATTCACCATCTGGTTCTAGAAACGTATCCCCATGTGACTGGGTCAAAATTCTGGAGAATGCTCGCTTACAGTAGGGTGGGTCTACCTACACCGAACGAATTGTAGCAGTTCAAGAACATAGCTCACCACAATCTTCTCAAAGACACCTAGGGATATGCAATAAATGCTGGCCCAGCCAACAACACCCAGATTCTGAGTATGAATTAAAAACAAAAGGCCAAACCAGGTAAGGATGGCAGATTTCCTTTTGTTAGTCCCAGAGCATTTCTTGGGTTAACTTTAGTTAATAAAAAAAACAAATTGCTGGAAAAACTTAGCAGGTCTGGTAGCATCTGTGGAGAAGAGTCAGAGTTAATGTTTCGGGTCCAGTGACCCTCCTGCAGGACAGAGATGAACAGAATTACATACCAGTCAGCATTTCAGCCTTCTTCAGGCTTGTTGCATTGCTACTTGGCATCCAGAGTAATTGGGTGAAGCTTCAAAGCTTGTCAATCTGTTTATACAAAAATAATATCCTCTTTGATCTTCCATGCAGTTAGGATTCTCTGATATTTGAATTGTACATGAGCATCTCTTGTGCTCTCCCTTCTTTGGATCTCTCCAAAGTGAAAGAAATGGAGGCTAGAGAATTCAGGGAAACAAATATTGTTGTTTCGGAATCATTTCATGTTACAGAAGAGGAAGTGCTAGAGGCCTCAGAAAACATGAAGTTGAATAAATCTCCAGTACCTGATCAAACATATACCAGGACTTTGTGGGATGTTAGGGAGGAAATTGAGGGGCCCCTAGCAGAAATATTTATATCCTCTATAACCATGGGTGAGGTGCAGGAGGACCAGAAGGTGGCTAATGTTGTGCCTTCATTTGACAAAGGCTGTAAGGAGAAGCCTGGGAACATCAGACCTGTGAGTCTGACATCGGTGGTGGGGAAGTTGTTGAAGGTTATTCCGAAAGATAGGAGTGACATGCATTTGGAGAGGCAAAGACTGATTAGTGATAGTCAGCATTGCTTTGTGGGAGGGAAATCACAACATAAGAACATAAGAACTAGGAGCAGGAGTAGGCTATCCAGCCCCTTGAGCCTGCCCCGCCATTTAATTAGATCATGGCTGATCTCTTTGAAACTCAGCTCCACTTAGCCGTCCACTCACCATAACCCTTAATTCCTTTACTGTTCAAAAATTTATCTAGCCTTGCCTTAAACACATTCAGCGAGGTAGCTTCAACCACTTCACTGGGCAGGGAGTTCCACAGATTCACAACCCTTTGGGTGAAGAAGTTCCTCCTGACCTCAGTCCTACATCTGCTTCCCTTTATTTTGAGGCTATGCCCCCTAGTCCTAGTTTCACCTGCTAGTGGAAACAACCTCCCTGCCTCCACCTTATCTAAGACCTTCATTATCTTGTATGTTTCTATAAGATCTCCCCTCATTCTTCTGAATTCCAATGAGTATAATCCCAGCCTACTAAGTCTCTCCTCATAATCCAATCCTCTCAACTCAGGAATCAACCGAGTGAATCTCCTCTGCACCCCCTCCAGTGCTAGTATATCTCTTCTCAAGTAAGGAGACCAAAACTACACACAGTACTCCAGGTGTGGCCTCACCAGGACCCTATACAGCTGCAGCATAGCCTCCCTGTTTTTAAACTCCATCCCTCGAGCAATGGCAGACAAAATTCCATTTGCCTTTTTAATTACCTGCTGCACCTGCAATCCTACTTTTAGCGATTCATGCACAAGGACACCCAAGTCCCTCTGCACAGCAGCGTGCTGCAATTTTTTACCACTTAAAACATAGTCCATTTTGTTGTTATTCCTACCAAAATGGATGACCTCATACTTATCAACATTGCACTCCATCTGCCAGACCTTTGCCCATTCACTTAGACTATCTATATCCCTCTGCAGACTTTCAGTGTCTTCTGCACACTTTGCTCTACCACTCACCTTAATGTCATCTGCAAATTTTGACACACCACACTTAGTCCCCAACTCCAAATCATCTATGTAAATTATAAACAATTGCGGTCCCAGCACTGATCCCTGAGGCACACCACTAGCCACTGACCACCAACCAGAAAAACACCCATTTACCCCTACTCTTTGCTTTCTACTGGTCAACCTTTTTTTTTTGTTGAAATCCTGTCTCACAAACTTGATTGAGGTTTTTAAAGAAGTAACCAAAAAGATTTGTCAGGGCAGAGTGGTAGACGTTGTTTACTTAGACTTCAGTAAAGCCTTTGATAAAGTTCTGCATGGGAGACTAATTAGGAAAATTGGATCACATGGGATTCAGGGTGAGCTTGCTAATTGGATACAAAATTGGCTTTACAGGAGACAGAGGGTGGTG